CCAGTTATCAATCCAGGTCGCTACAGTTCCTAAAATACCTGTCGCTTTGAGTGTAAGAGCCTCTTGTGGGGGACAACATCAAAAGCCTTTTGGAAATCTAAGTAGATGACATCATAGGCCTTCTTATCATCAATTTCCTGAGTAGCTTCCTCAAAAAACTCCAACAGATTTGTTAAACAGGATCTACCTCTCCTAAATATAATATAATGAATATAAAATATATATTTATACTGTATATATTATTAACATTTTTCAACTATCTTAAATAGATAAAAAAAATCTTTAATTAGACATACATAACGTACTATACCACCTTGTTTGTACATCTTGTTTTAAGCGTTTTTGAGGCATGTGCAGTTCAATTTCAGTAATTTCCAAGTGAGTATTCTCAAGTGGCGAATGGTTAAAATGCCCCACAGTTTTTACCCAACTTGCAACAGCGTCACTTACACGTGATATAGATACCCTCATGTATCACAAGCTGTACTGAGTGAGCAAAAACGGCACAATCTATAGCGACTCCTACAGTAAATCATCAATTGCTTTTTTCATATTACTCGCGTTGTCTCGCACAATTAGGTGCGCTTTGTTAGTGTGATTTCTCGCTAAACGACACTTCCACCTGTCAAAACTTTGTTTTTACAAAGATTGCAAATCACCGCACTACTAGTTGCTTTTAAAAGCGTAAAATACTTCCAGATCGTCACCCAATTATAAGGTGTTCTTACGCTCCGGCTTCAAAGGGTTTGCGCATGACGTCACAGTAGGCGGAGGTCACTGCGCTCACACCCACAGTGGCAAAAAAAACTGACAGGCAGTACTAGCGTTCAGCTTGAATGGATCAAAAACACTAAATCTAAAATGGGAAAGCGAAAGCCGTGCGATTGTACAAATAGATTTAACGTGAAATGTGAGCTGTCTTGTTAGAGACTGCCAAAAAAAAAAGTAAATATCACACGTGGATCGGTCACGTATGTCCGTCCTAATCCGTCTAATATTCGGTGCATCTCTACTTAACCGTTGCTAAAGAAATATATTCAGTGACTTTGCAAAAATATCCATTCATATTCCAGCTGCTTATTCAGTTAATCATCCTGTACGAATTTGAGGTCTGTCTCAGGAAGCAGAAGGCACCACTAGTGAGAGGATACCCTGGACAGAACGCCAGAAAACATCCCCAATGGTAATCACACATTATGGGCAATTATAAGATGCCAAATTGCCTAACTGATTGTTTTCGTTTTGTGGGAATAAACCATAATATCCCAGGCCTGGAATGGGATTAAAAATCAGATCTAGACGTTGAAATTCGTCACGCTGGAGTTTCCAGAGAAACCCATGCATCATGGGAATTACATACCTCCCTCCACACCCCAACACTGGGCAGGGGTGGGATTCAGCCCCCCAAAGCATTTCACTTAGTACAGCATATGATTTTCAGATCCCAGAATGTCTAGCTATGCTCCTGATTACAAAGTGAATTTCCATTCCAAGGTCCTGCAATTCATAATAATAGCACTAGGGGGAGGACTTGCATTTAACATCTCTATATTTTTTTCCTAATGGAGAAAAGAACAGCACATTGTGGACCTTATATACTAACAAAACAACATTTTTTTATCCCTAAATAAATCCCTAATCCAAAAATCCCTTAAAAAGATGTTTTTTAAACCAAAATATTCTACTGGCATCAGTGACAGCAGAGCTGCAGAACTGGATTATTTAACTGCACAGCTCGATTCATTAATTGCTGAATAATTCTGTAACTATCAAACAAACATTTAAGTAAATGCTTAAGCTATACAGATGAAGCTGGCAGTGCCTTTTATTTTGAACCACAATGTTGTGGCACTATTCAGTTTTTTTACTATTATTATTTAGGTTAATGTTTAGGGTAATGCGTCACCCATTCCTCTGCCAACCACTTAACTGGTACAGTGTCATGATGAGCCTTGAATTTGTCTCAGGACGTGCAGGGCAAGGGACACTCTGGACAGGATGCCGTCTCATTACAGGGGACTTGACACACCATAAACCTTTACTGTTGTCTTTCTTTTCTAAGTGTACACTTGGGGGAGCAAGAGAGCTAATACATTGTGATATAACTGTTCCATCCTGAACTGACAGAGTGCTACACAAAATCAATTTTTAGAACTGCATTAAAAATAATACATACACATCTGTTGACAGAACTGATAACAGAATAAGTCAAAGATGTGAAATCTACATGTCTAATTGTAATTCAAGTCTTTAATGAGGAGTTACTTAACGCCTTTGACTGTCTGTTTCTTAATAACACAGATGTCTAATTCAAGATGTCTGCTCTATTTTTTTTAGTGCATTTGTTTATTTTTGAATTAAAGCCTTTTATGCTTGAATGCTGAGTGATGCTTGAGACTGTCATCAGCCAAGCAGACCCAACCGCTTCTGAAACAAGAACGTCAGTGACAGCATTGGTGGTAAAAGCACCAAGACTATTTTCTCAGTTATTTTAGCCCTGTCTGTTTCTATTTTTGGTGGCTACTGCTCAAACGTATCAGGACAAGGGACTTGTTCCTGAAGAGGCTCGTCGAACAGAAGCCTGAGGTTTCTCCCGGAAGTCTTGGAGACTTGAGCGTGGGGTCAGACAAAATACACCAGAAAATGTGCTTCTGAAATGCAGAAAGACGGATTGCCGCCGATGTGTAGCTTCTGTGACATGATGTCACCTCACTGCTAAAAATAGCACTCGCATTTCCTCTAAAATAAGCCTCATCTGTTTATATGAAATTCATATAGATTTGGTAAATAAGCACCGTATGTTAAATTTACCGACGCAATTGATGTGCATAGAGCCACACGATATAGAGGGGATGACATCTACCTGTTTAGGTGTTCCTGAAGCAGGTCTAGCCGCTGCTCCACCTCCGCGTAGGTGATCTCGCTGTCAGTCTCGTGAAGGCCCTGTGCATCCTGCAATTTCACGGACTCGTCTGGAATCTCCTTTGGCTTCTCGAAGGCCCAGCGATCACCGTGTGAATCTCCTGCAAGCCGGACAAATATATAAAAAACAATGAAGAAACAAACAGCCAGGCATAAATAGGCTGGCCATTATTCAAGCACGGGGGAAGCAAAAATAGACGACTATTAATCTCCTCTAGCCAGCTTTATGGCGGCCTGCTGCTGGTAATTCATTAACTGGCGCAGTAATCTCAGCCATCCAATAGGAGACTAGTTTGCTCCGGGCAGCCTGGGAAATATCTCTGACAGGCACCTGCAAAAGCTCACTTCACCACAGCTATTGATGGCCAAGTGCTCAGCTGGACTGGAATACGCACAATGCACCCTGACGACAATCCAAAATTCTCTGTAGCTGCGGTGCCCATTTTGCAAGGCTGGAAAACGTGCATTTTATGCACCTTGGCACAGAACAATGCATAATTAAAATTCAGTGGGTAACCAGCTGCTGGCAGAAGAGTGAACTTTGAACATCCAAGATGATACGCAGCGCATTTTAGTGTGGGGGCTATGTCTTTGATAGGCTGTATGATGTCAGATGAAGTGAAATCTTAAATTTATGAAGTTCTGTTCCTTTAACTGCTAGCCAATTGCAGCTTCAATACAGGATATTTGCTACTATGTGAAATTAGCTGGTATAATGCAGTGCGACGAAACATGTTGATCATTTGGCTTTAAATGTATATGTGCCTAAGCTATATCTATATATGCCAAAGCATACTGGGTAGGCTGTTTGTAGAATAAATCACTTTCAATTACCAAGAATAATCTTTACCCATTCTTTTATCTGTAAAAAAAACTTTATTTGTCCCAAAACTGCATGCTAATGCAATTTTGTTTTCTCAGTAATAGTTCAGGTACATTTAACAAAAAATGCAATCTAATGAAAATTTAAAGCTTCAATCAGAACAATGGAAAACAGATACAGATATTCTACAGATACTGCCTCAGGCAGAACTTTCTGGATGGTGCCAGAACATTCTTGATTTTAGTGCATATGGATGTGCTGCCTTTCAGCAAAGGTCTCCAATTCCATAACCCTGTATTTTACATACTGTATACACATATAAACACACACATACACACTTGGCATCTAAATGGGGACTTTATATTAATTTCTATGGGAAAAAACCTAATCCCAACATGACGACCTTAACCTCTACCCAGCCCAAACCTGAAACATAAGTAACCAAACAAAATACATGACTTGTGGCATTTTTACTACTTTGCATTCACAGATTTTATTTTTTATAAAATTGAGGTTATCCAAACGGGGACCTGAACAATGTCCCCAAAGGTAAGGAAGTTTCAGGTTTTACCACATTTTGGGGACATTTTGTTCCCCAAATGCGATCTATGCAAACACACACTCATACACAGTATGACATCATCAGGAGGGAAATCAGGGAAGCATTTCCTCAGATAAGTTCTAACGCCAGGGAGGGATTAACATTGGAGGCAAAATGCATGCAAAGTGCATGCGAGGCCAGCGGAAACACAGAGGATTTCCCCAAAGCCTCCCTGCACTGGGAAGTCCCTCCATCCACCAAGACCACTATCCTACCAGGTACAGCTTTCCTCATGGATTTCCAGTTTAAGGTACCATTTTATCTAGGGTGCCTATTTTCCTCACACGATGTATGGACATTGCAGACTGCATGGCCAATATATTTTTGCCGTCAGGCATGAAAAAGTTATGAGATATTGCGCGGCCTCTCAGTAGCTCGGTGGTTTGGCTCCATCGTGATACATTTAGCCCAGTGTCTCAGGGTGTTTGCGAGCAATAAGCTTTCTCGCCTTCCTGCCAGTAATCACGTTATCTCCCCCAGGGCTGCATTAGAGCTGTCCGGCTGTGTTGCATGAGACCTGCGGCTTGGTTTAGTCCTACAGCCCATTTTAAACCGCTGAGGAGCCCCGATACACTGAAGGAATCTACAGCCCTTGCCGTATGCAAGTGGGAGAAGGTTGAGCGTTTAACAGAAATTATGTGGTAGATTCCCAGCCCCTAAATATCTTACTCTTTCTCTTAGAGTCAAGGCCAACTAAGCTCAAAGATGCTAAAAAAGGACAACTGTGAACTTTTACTGTTACCATCCATCTCCTTCCACCCCGTTCAACATCTCTTACCATCACCAAGGCCCCCAACCCACAAAAATCTTGGGCCCAAGCGTCACACTTGTTCGGGCGCTGATCTTGTCCCTTACCTTTGTACGGCTGACCTCTCTCTGTTGTACACTCTCTGGCCGGGACATCGGCGAGTCCTACACTGTGGTCCTGCACCAAGGGGTAACCCTGTATCCCGGAGCACACAGGGAGCGGCTCCGCTGTGGATACCCTCCTGCTCCCCCCCTCCTGCCTCGAGGAGGAGCATATCAGCTGGTCCGCCTCCTTGTCTTCTCCCCCTGTGGGACGGTTATTAGTGAGGCTTTTCAGGGAACGTGGTATCCTCAGCTCCCTCGGCGAGGACCAGCAGTGCAAAAATGACATTAAAGAACTTGGACGTGGACAAAATGGACTCAACGGGATTGTTAATACTCTGCCTTCCTCGCGATGTAGAAAGGAAAGCTCAGCCTAGCTGTCTCGAAACTGAATGGTTACACCACACTACAGAATTAACACTGAACAGCATTTTTAGCTACAGTAGAGTTAAAGAAGTTTTTCCCTGACAGGGTTACTTCCTGTACCAATGTTCCTAACAGGTTAATCATTAACTTGTATAACAGCTAAGAAGCTCACGTCCGATTCATTAAACAGTGGTGTTTGTTTCTCCACCAGTAAATTGGTGCACACATCACAGCTCTTTTTACACATTCATCAACCATATTCAGATTCATTATACCTTTATTATAATAATTGCCGCAGCAGTTCAAACTTACATAAGTAATGTACATGTGCTGGATTTCATTTATTCTGAATATTTGGTTTCCATGCTCTCATGCACAGGATAAGTTCATAAGTCAGTTCAGAATAACGTTCTTCGTTAGATTATATGATGACTAAGTGTGTTTTGGTTTCCAATACTGTAACATATGATGAGGCAGCCTGATTTCAGGTCATTGGTGGTCCCATCTCAATAACAACAAAAATTGGACTGAGTGAGTTCTGTAAACTTGCTCTTCACTTAAGGATATGCCATGGTTAATTTCACAGCCTTATGAAATGTAGATCAAAATCTTACAAACACATTCCGAATTGAACAGAGACAGTCAGACCGTTTACATCTTAGCACAGAATGCATTTCAACTCACCGTGCGACAACTTCCGCCTGAAGGAAATCTTCCTTTTATATTTAGTGTCTTCTACATCCGAATCGCTTGATTGAGAATAATTTGTCTGGGAAAGCAGAAATAATTGACATTTAACCCAGTGCAGTGCAGAGGACCCAGTGCAGAGGACCAAGTGCAGAGGACCCAGTACAGAGGACCCAGTGCAGAGGACCCAGTGCAGAGGATCCAGTGCGGAGGACACCGATCCCATTTCACAGAGCTTTTTGCTGCACCCAAATTTCTAACAGATTAGTCAGAGCTTAGCTGAAAAACTAAATAAAATGTATTATATTGGAGTTGCATAAAGAGGAATTTTACTGCTTCACGGTGACCGATACTAATCAGAAGGTAGCAGGTGTGAGGCCTAGAATCATCGTAATGCTTCCAGTGACACATCCAGCTCCTTTGTGGGGGTTGGTGAAGTTTGCTAAACAATGCAATGCACATAGCAGGTGGCTGATAATTTAGCTCAGGATGTATGTTGGTGCTTTGGGGGTAAATCCACAAAGGGGTGTGTACATTTTGGTTCCCGTGTCTGGCTTTATGTGCTGGAAGTGCATGGCGGCTCAAAAAGAAGCAAATTCAGCATACAAGGACACTCAAAACACAGAGGCAATAAGGCACATACTTTACAGTGTGTGGGAGATACGTTTGTCATTTAAAAGATATATACACATGTAGCTTGAACTGCCAGTTTTTCATGACTTTTTTTCTATAAAAAGAAATGATGATACAGTTGTAATTTACAGTAATAAAAATTTAAATTTTACTGGTTTCATATTAAGTAAATGATTGCAGATTTTTATGTATTTTTATTGGTTTCCATTTAAATAGCATTGGTATATAGTGCAACATTTATTGTTAAAAAAACTACCAAATTACCAACATCAGAATTACAGATACACTGTAATCCTTATTTTATGAGTTTTATAAGTTTTTCTGTTGCCCAAACGTGCTGGGAAATATTAGCAATTTTTTGTTCAAGTGGTAAGAGATTTGCTATGACCAAACCTGATTAAATGCTGCTGGATCGCTGAGTAAATTGCTGAAATGCTTTCAGGGGGCTTCAAATGCAATTAACAACTGCAGAATTACAGATTTACTGTCATTCTTAGCTTATGTGTCTGATAAGTTTAACTCTTCCAGCTCCGACTTCCAGATTTGCATTATTTTAAATTGGATTATTTGATTCATGCATACATTTACACATAAAGAGAGAAGCGACAGCACTCCGTGTTCCCGGAATGTTCTTAATGTTGCACTTTCTGCTGATTTCAGTAGTCGTCTATTTAGAGTCTTGCTTTATTTGGAAAATGCTGTGTTATTCGGAAGATCAGCCTAGCTGTACATATGCCAAATCGACTCCTTGACAGCCATATGTCTGTGATGTGCCATTTGCCTCACTTGTACGTCACTTTGAACAATAGTGTTAGCTAAATAAAATTCATGTTAATGGAAATGCTGCAACTTGTGATCACGCAAAAGCTTTATAATTCACACCAGAGTAACATACCTTCGTAGTCTCATCCCTAAGGTTGAAGGTGAGCTCCAGATTAGTTAGGAAGTGGTCAGCAAACTCAGGATACATGTCAAGAACCTCCAGGAGTTCCTCCCGCTGGACTGTGTGCAGGTCGCAGTAACTCAGGGCTCTGACATCAGCGTTGGATTTCCCAGGTTTGGCATACAGATGGATCATCTCCCCAAAGATGTCGTTCTTCCCTGCAGAAGAGGAGCAACTCATCAAAGAGGTTCACCACTTATGGTATCTTATTCCAACTATAGTATTTTGATATTTTATATATATATATATATATATATATATATATATATATATATATATATATATATATATATATATATATATATATATATATATATATATATATATATATATATATATATATATATATATATATATATATATATATATATAAAGAAAATTTATATATTTTATTTAAACCATATTATGCAAAAAAGTGTCCGTCAGCATCAAAACTATATGATGCATCTATTTTACGTCATTTCAAAGATAAATCCATAAAATATAAAAGATTGATGTCGTCCTTCGTAATTGATAATAATTAAACACTGTTTGACAAATAAACTTGGTTTTGAATTAGGAACCTCTTGTTTGGTTTTCTATAGATTTAGTTTAAGGTCATCTTGTGTTTCCAAGGGAGCCTTCTCAGAGATGCTTGGTCTAGGTAAATGTCAAATGCCTGGCATTTTCATTAAAGTGAAATGTGAAAGGTCAGCCTGTCACATGACTTTGCATGTCACATGAGAGCAGCCAGCTGGCCATAACTGTTGCTGTGGGAGTTCACACCTGGCACAGCATGCAGGCATGCCGGAGCTTCTGGTGATCTCATTTTAGTCCACTGTGCTCCACTAAAGTCTCTGATACAGTACAGACCAATTAGAGTGGTCCAGGAAGGCACTCTGTGTAGTGCAATACAGACCAACCCATCTAAATCAGGACGGTCTTGGAAGGCAGTGTGTATAGTGCAACACAGACCGACCCAACTAAATCTGGGTGGTCCTGGAATGTGTAGTGAAAGATACTCCCCTAGTCACACTCCAGAGCCGTCAAAACACCATGACGATCCATTCCAGCATGCAGTTCATCATAAAGACCTATACAAACCAACCCAGCTAAATCGGGATGGTCCAGGAAGGCACCCTGTTTGGGGTAATGCAGACCAATCCAACAGAATCAAGATGATCCAGAAAGGCACTCTATATAGTGCAATACAGACCAGCCCAACTAAATCAGAGTGGTCTGGGAAGACTGTGTGTGGTACAGTACAGAGCTACCAAACTAATCAGGATGGTCCAGGAAGGTACTCTGTACTCTGAACCCAACTAAATCAGGGTGGTCTAATAAGGCACTCTGTATAGTGCAATACAGACCAGCCCATGTACATCAGGATGGTCCAGGAAGGCACTGTTTGGTTTAATGCAGACCAGTCCAGCTACATCAGGATTGCAGAATGGCTGGAGGTCCCTTGTGGAACGAGTTGAAAATCACAGACCACAAAAAGCTGAGTTCTGATTTTTTATTCCCACAAGGGTCACATACATCCCATACAGGAGCTGGAGTGACATACGCCTTGATCTTCGCTCTGGGATCTGGAGAATAAATGCTCAGCCCAGCACAAAACCCAGCAGGACAAGCTGCTGATGTACAGCTCTTATTCTTCTCCTCTACTTTTTCTCATAAGGAGAACTCCATCTGCAATGATTCAGAGTGTAGGTCATTTTATTTATTTCATTTTAACAGTAATAACGCATTTCCCGCTCACGTACAATCCAGTGACGCCGAAGAAGCCCGCTTCTGAAGATTCTCATTACACTTTTCCGAGACGAGAACAGCACGTCAGCAGATCCGCAACTTCTGCGGTTCCATTTCTTTGCAGAGCCCCTGCGACTGCGCACGAGAGAGTTTCAGTGTGTCTGCGTGCCGTGCTCAGATTTACGCCCGGCATCCTGTCCCGTTTACGCCAGCGGGTGGGCTGAAAAACCATCCACCACTTGAAAAATGGGCCGTTTAAATGAAACTTATCCCGTTGCAGCCGCCCGCGGCTTACCGCCTGACACGGGAGGGAGACACATCCTCCCCTAATCGCATTCCAGAGCCCTCAATAACACCAGAGAACCGTAACCATCGATTCCAGCATGCAGTTCATCATAAAGAGCTAGCAATTAGGCTCTATATATCTCCTTTTCCTCCAACACTCAATTTCTTCTCTTCTTTGCCGTAGATCAAAATCCCGCCATACGCTGTGACAGCTTTTATGTTGCGAAGATGCCAACCCCCCCCCCCCCCCCAATAGCTGTGTAACAGGAATGTCAGGCCTTCTCCCATCTGACCAGTTAACATGTTTAAGAGGAGGATCCTCAGAATTCCCATCCTGCCACGGTGCTGTGTGAGTGGGGGCAGAGCCAGCTGGTAAAAATTCACGCCATTCAACGAGTGATGCGATTCAGCCCCTTTTAGGAACTCCGGCTTCCGGGAAGCGCGCTGAGTGATTTACAGCTGACAGCTGTTTTCCGAGGCCAGGGCTCTGAGTGTGTACCTCGCATGCCCCCCCCGCCCCGCCCCCCCGCATTCCCTCAGCCCTCCATCCCAGACCTCCAGCAGTGTAGTCACAACAAACCATCATCCGGGGACTGATGCAGCTTTTTAAAAAAAAAAAACACACGGAATGCCTGTTCCACAGCCAACCTCTGCCACTAGGTGTAAGCAAGTCCATTCATTCGTGTTCTGTAATCGCCGGATCTATTCTGGGTCGCGGGGGGGGGGGGGGCCCCCCGCATCAGCAAGTAACCCCCATGAAAAAGGCACACCCCCCAGCAATATTATATTATATTATATATCATATTATACATACATTACTGGCCTCTGCAGGTGTATTACTTTAGGAAAAGTCTGGGCTTGATGATGTTTTATTGCTGCTGTCTTTTATACTTATCTGTTTATTATTTAAAGTGTATTGTGTATTAAGTATTCTGTCTTGAAGCAGAGTCCTACCAACAAAGATTCCGTTATGTGTACGCATTATGACAATAAAGAATTACATTCTATTTTAAGCTGCAATTAATGCATCACATATTAAAACACCTGCAATCACTTCAGGGATCTTATTCAAGAATTATGAAAACACAGGCAATATTCAAATGTGAACTAAAACTACATTAATTACTGTAGTAGCATTATCTCTTGATTTATAGATAAACGTTACATAAAAATTCAGCTAGCTTGGGAGATAGCGGCATACAAGTTACAAAGGGTATTTTTAAATGGGTGAGCCTGCCTACTCTGATCATGTAAAATCTATCAGAACCGTAGGCGGTCATTTTTTCTATCTCAGCCCCCTGAAAATGTTATCGTGGGAAAACTTGTTTGACGAATTTAATAGCGGGGTACCCGAGTGGGGGCATCCTGTAAGCCCCCTTACTCCTTGGGTCAAATTCTAAAATCGCCCCTGATCGAGTGACGGACTGGAACCACTGGTACCCACCCAATATGGCCACCACGATGTCGTCCTTCAGAATCTCAATGGAGCCCCGGGACAGGAAGTAGAGTGCGGTGAGGACATCGCCGCTGTGCACCAGAGTGTCACCAGGCGGGCAGTGGGTGCTCTTGAAGCGCATGGCCAGGGCCCGGAGGCAGCCCTTGGTGGCGCCCCGGAAGGCTTTGCAGTGTGTCAGCAGGTTCTGGTTCAGATGAAGGCAGATATCTGCCTGCAGGCACTCAGGAAATCCTTTAAGGACCTAAATACGAAACAGAGCCGGTGCATAGTACAGATGGCAACAGGTGAAACTGCTACTGGAGGCAGCTCAATAAATAACTATAATTCGATCAATAAGCAGACAAATATAATACAAAAACAGTGAAAAGCAGTGGGCATTAATAACTTCACACATTTTTAGAAATATCTGTCTTCCAACTGCTCATCCTGGGCAGAATCATGGGGGGGGCTGGAGCCCATCCCAGTCAGCACAGAGCACAAGGTCCCATGGCCAGAACACCAGGCCATCCCAGGCCACACGCACATGGACTCCTGGCATTTCAGAGACGCCAATTAGCCTGCTAGTGTGTCTTCGGACTGCAGGAAGAAACCGGGGCCCCAGAGGAAAGTCACATGACAGAGAACAGGCATGCTGTACACACAGGGGGGGGGAGGGGGGGGCTCCATTCCAACCCCCCACTCCTGGAGGCGTGAGGAAACAGTGCCAGCCACTGAGCTTATATTTATATACCCAGAAAAGCGAATATTTTAGAATTAAGTTCTAAGTTAAGTATCTTATTTTACTGCATACTAGTATTCATTTCCAAGATTATTCACCATGCAGTGTCGACAGATATGAAATACAAAATACTGTTTGGCTGCTTCTTTTGCACACATCACACAGCCTCTTTCATGCTCAATAAGTCTATATAAATGCACATGAAATCATTTCCATGCACAGTCAGTATTTACAAAGGACAGCTTGCTGGCTCTAATGAGGCAGGGTCATTCTGAGTCTTTGATGATGTGGGACTAAATACTGTAGCTGTGAAGGTAAATGAATAATCTCAGTCTTGCAAACGTAACAGCAGGCAGATGAAGTATGCGGGAGCGCGACCGTGTATTTCAGGGATTCTTCATGTGTTTCCATGCATATAATATGTTAACCATTAGCCCAAGCTTATGGTGATCAAAAATATAAAAAAGTTAATTAATAAATAATTAATAATCCATATGTTTGAAAAATAATGATAATTATTGTCTGTCCAACCCCTGGTGAAGGTCATGGGGATTTATTATTATGATTATTTTTATTTGTTTGTTTGTTTTTGTTTGTTTGTCTATTATTATTATGTTTTGTTTGTTTGTTTTTTGTTTGTCTATTTTTATTATTACTATTATTATTATTATTGCTAACTAATGGAGCCAGTTTCCAAAGAACCACCTACTCATACCTACTTCTCCACATCAGTAAAACTATATAAATCCAGTGCTGTAACCTAAACTCTACTGGCCATAATGTTTATTCATTTTACAAGAAAATGGTAAAATATTGCAGCTAAACCAACTGAACAAATGAACAAATTGATGAGCAACTTTCAGTGACTGTATCTTTACTCATAAATATTTTTATATTTAGTTAATACCGCTGTTCAACACTGCAAAGAAGATCTCACAGAATGCTGCTGTAGGTGAGAACTGTAAAACATTTATCCAAAGATAATGTAGCCGTGTATTAATGTGCCTGCTTCATGTATTTCTTTATGTACCTCTAGATAGGTACACATGCTTTGTAATAAGGCAAATAAGAATGCCTTACCTTCCCAGAGCATTTTTCCCGTTGTGACAGAGTGAGCATGAATACCACTTAATGCATTATAGCAGCAGTTAAAATGAGTGATGGGTTTTTGGCGCATTTGTTAAGCTAAAAAATCATTCTTTTCCAGAGCAGCCAGGCAGTGTCTGTATTCTGCTTTTTGTTCCTGACATGCTTAGTCAGCATGATTCATTAGCCTCTGATTGGACAGAGAGATAATGACACGTCTGAATGATATTCCATCTGTACGGGGGTCCTGACTTCTGCCAATTAAAACCAAGCTCCGTGAGTGTTTTCGATAGTCTCTGTGGACCCATGGAGCAAGAATTAGCTAGTAGCAGAAAATCTCATGAAAAGCTCATATTCCTGCATTTTTGTAACAGACCTGAAAAATTATGAATCGCAATAAATTTCTGTTGTGTTTCTCTGGTTATACAGATTGCTACTTTATAAACTCTGCTGGTGCTCCGTACACTTTTTAATTTGTAAATGGATATTAATCTGTCAGCTAGTACCTTCAGAGAGGTAAGAGGCAAGCAATGCATTCACATAAAAACAGCAATGATAATTATTTTAACACAAATACCTCCTGCTCTTACCAGAGTGGTGACGTCATTCCGTTTGGTGTGAATCAGGCATGAAAGAGACAAGTGTTTCATGAGTAAAGTTACCAGAATGGCACAAAGATAAGCCCATCATTGTAGGCTTCACAATCAAAGTTAATATTTCTGCTGCCATTGTGCTCTCAAAAAATAACTGAATTAATTAATCATCAATTTTATAATAATGTGAACATGAAATACACATTTAAATCAGTTATGCATTGAAGCACAAAGAAAATGGGAAACAGGGGGGCTTTGAATGGTGTAGTTTAGTGGTAATTAACGGGATTACTGTGATGGATGGTGCAATGGACGGGTTCTGCGGCTGACCCAGGCTCAGCGTCATTCACGCACCATATTCATGTCGATGCCGTTGGTGTAGGTCCAGGCGTGCTGGAAGTACTCCTCCAGCCGCTGGCGCAGTGGGTTGGGGATCTGGTGGAAGCGGATGAATTCCTTGACGCGAAGCATCTGCAGGTGGTACCTGGCCGTGCCAGAGTAGAGACGCTGGATGATGGCCGACACATTGCCGAAGATGCTGGCGTACATGAGGGCTTCGGGGAAGAGCGGAGGAGCCAGAGTCAGGATGAACATCGCTACATCGCCGATCGCGGCGCGTAAAACCGCAACTGCCATGCCGTCGCTGTCCAATGAATAGCACGTTTCTCAAAAACTACATTATTTTGGGAGTGTAAAAAAAGGCATTCCCTCAGAAACTGCATTACAAAATAAACCTAAAACAGCACATGAGACACCTTTAGCACCAGAAATAGAAACGTATCTTTACAGTAAGATACAAACTAATCTAAAGTTTATGCTCACAATTATCAAAATGATGTCTATTAACTAGCTATCCTGCTATCAATATTAATTTGTTAAAAGTAGCTATATAAAGTAACCCATACACATGACCAACATGAGTACAAAAGTTAACTAGTACGAACATAAATACTAATCAAATAGATGGCTTCATAAAAAATCTTTTCACTGGTCAGTTAGATGTCAAATGACATCACTAGACAGAGAAGAATGGGTGTGTTCCATCCATTAAAAATATTACAATCATCAAAAAGTGGACATAAATGGTTTTCAGCAGACATCAAACGTGGAGAGTTCAGGTTCAGAAAGTATGAATCCAGACGAAGATTTTGCTTCAGCCAGTTGAGCATAAAGAGTCACATTTACAGGGTACTCAATTGGCTGGTTGAAACAAAATCTTGGTCTGGATTTGTACTTTCTGAACCTGAACTTTCCACCTCTGTATGATATGCAGCCGTGGGTTTGTTTAGTAGAGGTGTACGCATGCAGAAATGCAATGAGGAGATCCAACGAAAAAACCAAACGTACAGCCAATTAACATGACGCATATGGAGAAGACCTTCTCTGAGTTGGTGTTAGGGGAGACATTCCCAAACCCAACGCTGGTGAGACTGCTGAAGGTGAAGTAGAGGGCCGTGACATATTTGTCCTTGATGGAGGGCCCGGAGTTGGGGTCACTGTAGTTGTAGCGCTTCCCAATGGACACGCCCAAGTTGTCCAGCCAGCCAATCTTGTGCTTCAGGTACGGCTTCTCCACGTTGCCAATGGCGTACCAGATGCAGGCCAGCCAGTGGGCGATGAGGGCGAAGATGCACATCAGCAGCATCAGCACCGCCGCCCCGTACTCCGAGTAGCGGTCCAGCTTCCTGGCCACACGCACTAAGCGCAGAAGCCTGGCTGTCTTCAACAGTCCAATCAGCGTGGTGGTCTGAGGGCACAAACACCATCAAAATGAGCCTGTAATCACACACCAGAGACTGTGGACACTGGGAAGTATCATTGCTCAGCCCCTGACATGATGCACAGCTCTTTGGCTTACAGTATGTTCAGTAACGAAGGAGGATGAGCGAAAAGCCAAGAGCAAGTGCCCATTTCCTGAAGTGTGACAGCTTGCGAACGTAAATGCAGAGGCACAGGAACAAGACTCCGTAAAGTTACATTTATACCACATTTTATAACAAAAAAGGTTCAAATATACAGAATCAGCAATAGGCTTTCTGTCATTGTAAACAAAATAACCCATTTGTGTGCAAATCCCATTAGGGTCTGCAGAATACCCTTTATTAGTTTCTTAGCGTCACACAGGTTGCGCTGATTGTTAGCTAGCTGTCAGACAGTTAGTTCCCAAAGTGGAAATGATGCTATCGTGTCCCCCGGAGCCCACATAAAGCAGGAAATGTTAAACACGGGGCTCAGGGAGTGATTCTGAAGGCCTGCCCTCCTGTCCATGTCGCTGTCCCTCCTGCACTTCAGAGAAAAGATAGAGAAGAGGACAGTTCTACCTGTTTCCTCCGATAATCAGCCCCTGCTGCTTTACAATCAAATACATGAATAGGAATCAATCAACAGAGCAAACTGTTCAACACATATACTGATCGTTCCTTGGTGGCAGTGGGCAGGCAGCCTTTAATAAGAGCAGGTTATCTGTCAGATACAGCTGTGGCGTGCAATAGCACGTCAGTAACACCTGTTTCATAGAATTTATAGAAGAAATAAAGCACAAAACGAGTGGATGATAAAACCGGGTTTCACTCTTGACATCTGCTGTTGACAATTACTCTTAAAAAGGGGGAATGCATCTTATCAATCTGAAGACTGTAGTGGAAATGCACATGGTAAAGCGATGGGATTGTGACGGATTTACCGCCAGTCACTGGAGCTGATATTCAGGCATAGAGCAGATGTAGAGCAGAATTCCTGGGTGTCTTACTGCTTTTACAAAATGCTTCCTATGACTCTAGAACTTTATTCTGTTATCATCTATCCACCCACTTATCCGGTGCATATTTACTACACTGTATTTTTCAATAAGCAAAATATATGAATGGGTAGATTCACTATATATCATCCTGCCGCCAAAATATACAGCATAATGAAGAAGCGGAACCAACTAATGTGGAAAGGAACCGTAATGGTTATCTATGCAACATGCCAGCTATTAAGCAATCAATCAGTCGATATGCATTACTCCAGTAATAAATATTTGAATGTTGTAGAAGTGCGAGGAATTGTAATAGAATGGATTTCATGCTTGATTAATTTGAAAATTTGAACTTGCGTGTTCTTGAAAGCTTCTACCTGCAAGAGTACACTTTTCACTTAGAGGTCCTGGCAGGATCACGCCAGTCATCATTAAGCCGGAGCCAATTTCCCTGAAAGGACAGCCAAAAAATGACTAAACAGCCTGCACTGGAATGCTGTGTCTGTATGCATATAAATAATGGCCCATTAAGGCAGTTTTTCCACTCTTGTGCCAAGAATGGATGAGGCCTGAACAGGAGCAAGTTTTATTTTAGTCTAATTCAGTCAGGATCTAAGAGTAGCTATTAAACGGGGGTGCCTTAGCAAAAGCAGACGGTTGACGACTGGGCCTAGTTAAATGATTAGTTAGTGACGGCAGAAGAGAAATGCCATCAGACATTTCAGGCAGTCTTAATTGCAGACAATGTACAAGGACTAGATACAGAACAATATTCAGATACCTGGGGCATGGTTCTTTGGGCCAGAACTATGCTAGTGAAATTGCTGCTGACTGTGTGAAATGAGGGTAAAAAATGTGATCGGCTAGAGAAATTAACTGCTGAGTCGGCAGTGTGATTTTAGCTGTAGGGTTCCTTGTCCACTCAAAATGTTTTCATGTCACTCGCGGACTGCCGAGCTTGTGGCAGCTACTGTAGGACACCAGTTATAGGATGAAATGGGGAATAGGGGCAGGATACAGTCGATATGAAGGGCACCAGGGAGATCCCAGTGGCAGCCAAACGAGAGCTGGACATTGTATGTCATGGAAACCGTGCATCTCCCCACCATTTATCCGAAGGAAAGACTGGAGCTGATCCCAGGTAGAGCAGGACATTAGGCTGAAGGCAGAAGCACACCCTCAATGGCATGTCGATCCATCATAGGATGCATGCAATCACACACTGTGGGCAATTTAAAGAGGCCAATTAGCCAATCGGCATGGCTTTGGACTGTGGGAGGAAAAGCCACATGACTGGGAAAGCATGCAAACTCCAAACAAATGGAGCCGAAGTGAGACTCAAGGCCGTGACACTGATGGTGCGAGGCAATAGTGCTGCCCACCAAGCCATGGGGCTGCCCTATTCGCTGAAAATAATTACACCGAACTGAAATCCCTTCACTGATATAATGGAAGAGAAAAGTCATTTGCAAGGCCAACCCCCTGTCCTTGTCACCAGAGGCTGATTACATCACTGGTCGCTCTAACAGGACCATACACTACACTACCATCTGTAATTTGTGTTAACAACAGCAAGGCACCTTCTTCTGAGGGTGACACAAGCAGAAGTTTGCTGAGCCAGCTGGCCGTGAACCAGCCTTACTTTCCTCCTGTACCTACTGCTAAGGATTTTATATTTCCAGTCCCCTGGCTAGTCTCCATAACCATTTTTGAGGGAAAATAACATTATCTTTCTATGCTCTTTTTAAGCCTGACTCATAATATTTTTTTCTTTGTTAAACATTTTGGGATGAATATACTTGGGATTCAGCTGAATTAAATGTAATTTTATAGATGATGCATATATATATATATATATTTTTTTTATTATTTTATTTTATTTTTTTTTCCCGATACTTCCAGTCAAACACCAACAAATTTAATTAAACCTATTTTAATTGACTTTTGTCATGACATTACGGTTTCGAAGACAAAAACGCACACCTGACTGGGAGAGGGGCTATGGGTTTTCTGCTTTTATCTGTCTGTATCTATATTTGTCACTGCCACTCAAGGAGCACTCGAGAGACGAGGGACTCCACTGCACGCGTGTCACGAAAGCGGGACGGAAAGCCGACTAATCGCAGCTCTGATGGAGGAAGATCCTCCTGCCTGTCAGATCTCAGCTCCACAACAACCGGGGGGAGTTACTCGTATCCGCAGCTACCGAGGGTCTCCCACGTTGAGAATCCTCTCCAGAGAGCCACAAATGAAGCTGATCTTCCTGATGGGGGGGAACCATGACCAGACACACCACTCTGCCTTCCCACTCCGTGGGATGATCAACAGCACTGGAAGCTGCGCCTCATTTAAATGTGGTATCGACTGCTGTTCTGTAGGCCATTAAGTCACATTAACATTCCATTTAATACTCTGTTAGCCATTAGCGTTGACTTAGATATAAGACCACAAAATTAAATTCTCTGTGTTCAGACTTTGATTAAAGATGAACAGTTTCCTTTTAAGGTGACTGTTTCGATTGATCTATGCTTACTTCCTCTGACCCAGATCCAAAAATGAGCAGGTCGAACGGGATGGCAGCCACCATGTCGATGAGGAACCAGCCCTTGAAGTAGTGGATGGCGATCTTCCCCGGGTGGCTGACCACCTCGTCGTTGAGGTTGACGTAGGTGGTGCGGAAGTTGATCAGGATGTCTATGATGAACATGATGTCCACCATGAGGTCCACCACGTTCAGCGGGTTGCAGGAGTAGCCGCACTCGCGCCGTTTCTGCTCCTCCCGGTCATTGAGGAGGAAGGCAGCGGAGTAGGGCGTGAAGATGGCTGTGTAGATGACCAGCAGGAGGATGAGCCAATCCCACACGGCCTTGAAGGGGCTGTAGTGGAGTATGGTGCACTTGTCGATGCGTGGGGTCTGTAGTTTGTACTCGGGCAACACGTCTGCACCTAATGAGAGCACCTGTAATGAAACAGGTAGACATTTTAAGCTATTTGCATTTACTTATTTAGCAGATTGCTTTTTATCCAAGATGACGTGCCATTGAGAAAGTTCTGTCTCGGGAGCAACTGGGGGTTAAGGGCTTTGCTCAAAGCCCAAACAGTGAAATCAACTCTACCAAGCACAGGATTTGAACCGGTGACCTTCAAGTCCTAAGCCACAGAGCATACACCACCCCGAGCTATTTTTGGAAGAGAGAGAGGAGAGGTAGGGAGCATGTGCTAACTACAGCATGTTGCCATAGCCATCACACAACAAACCACCTCAGGGATGAGAACCCATGACCCCAGCACCACACCAGTCCAAATGGAACAGTGTGAGTTTTTTCCCCCATGCTAGAGTGCCAATCCTGCCACCGACCCCCAAATTATTCCCTGTAAATTGGAGGCCCACCTTGCAGGGCTGGATGTAGATTAACTTCAAACCCAGGATGAAGCAATTGCAGGTTATGGGCCTTGCTCAAGAGCCCAATGGAGTAGGATTACACCTGGCATTCACAGGATTTGAACCAGCAACCTTCTGACTGGTGGCACAGATGCCTAACCTCAGCCAGGAGGATAAATCATGATTAACATTTCATCCATCCTGCCATTCATTAATTGTGTCCATTAATCTAGCTATGGATGTTCTGACCCCATACTCTCTGCCTTCCTTCCCACCAGCTGGAGTCCTGATTCAGTCCCATGGAAGGGTGCCATTGTGGACTGACTTACAAACTGCAACATTTTGGGTGCAGACTTCAATCTGCCACCCATCACAAGCCAGTATGGAGATCTGACCCAGTTGACCTTGATTTATTTTTTCCCTACTTTGGTTCCTCTCCTCCGTTGTCATCTGACTTTCTTTCTTTTCTCTGTCTTTCCTTTTCCCTGTTTTTTGTATCATTTTCTCTTACTGGTGTTGCATTGCATCACAACACACCCATATGAAGCACCTTGGGGCAAAATTGTTGTGAAAGGCGCTATATAAAAATAAACTGAATTGAAATTAAATCATCCATCTTCCAACCAGTTATCCAGGAGAGGGTTGCTGGGACTGCTTCATTGGCAATTAAAATATCACATTTTCTGAATAGTTTTAAAATATAAGATATAAAATATAAGATATAAAATTTATTGATATATTTTCTTTTTAGGTGTTTCTGTTTGTATTTCTCTAGTGTGTTCAGTATGATATTGTGCTTAAGGAACATATTTTCACCTTTACAGAAATCAAAAAACGCCGATCACTACTTTTGGTTTGGGGCAAGAGTTCAGATTATACTATGGAGTCAGACTATCTGCTTGTTTGCTGTAATTATGTCTATGCTTTTTAAGTGAGCAAGCAGCATAAATATTGCACAGCTTTATTACAGTCATCACACAATGCGTCTTATAATATACTATAGCAATTTTAGTGGAAATAGTGTTACAGTGTTACTTAAATGTGTTACAGCCATATCATTTCACCAGTTTTGCCTGTTCTGTGTGTATCCACCCTAATATACTGTAAAGCGATTGTGAATCTCAATGCAGCCTCATAACCCGCATAACACAAACTTGGGCTCACCAACTTTGCTCAGACATGTCTGCATACACGTATTCTTGTATGTAACAGTTTCATTACCTTGTAAATAGTTTGTAGGGCTTGCAAACTACCCCAACGGTTTTGATGTAGCCTATTTTAGTTTTATAATGGAATAATATAAACTTGCCATAAGATTTCTTGTGCGAGCGGGACAGTCTGAAAGTGCGAGTGTCACACTAGATGCGTGACAGTTGGCAACTCTGTGGACTGCTGTTCAGATTTGCTAGTGTGCCAAACATATTTAAATTCAGAAGGTAGTAGGCTATATGGAGCACTGTGGATCTTTTTGGCTGTGAACAAGAATGCGGATTACTGTGAAGTGTAACATATTTAACAAAGCAAGGGCAAGGGATAAGCTTATATGCCCTGTTTAGAACAATTACCATGGAGGTTTTGATTTAGTGTATAAATTAAAACATTTTCTGATGAGCAGGACGAGCAATAAAACCACCACTTTCTTTCACAGTGATACTGAGGTAATTACCATGGTAAGTGGCTGAGATGTTCGCCCCTCTGGCTGTCATTTCGCCCCTCATTTAGATAGCAGGTTATTACCGGAGCAATCCAGGTAAAGTACCCAGCTCAAGGGTACGGCGATAATTACGAGATGTGTGGGGATGCAAGGCAAAGCCCAAGAGCGCGTCAAGGCGTCCAGCCGTCTCTTTGCACGCTTCTCGGGACGGTGCGAATTTCATTTACATTACATTATATAGCAGAATTGCCTTTGCGTTACGCTTGTATTATTTTATTTAGCGGCTTCATCAAAGGAAGTATATTGAAACCAAACCGAAACTACGCGTCAGCAATCGCACACGAATATACAAGCGGTAGGGAATAGATAATGAGTTACAAAATAAGTGACAGTGAGACGCACGTGATTCCCTTTGTTAAATTCATGCTGTTTTATAAAAACTTTGCACCACGTCACACTTCAGGGTAGCTTAATCAGGCATGTACAGTAAGCAAAAAGTTCCAAAATAGAAGAAAGTGTATAGTAGAAATTTAAGTTGTAATGCAAAGTAAAGCTTGCTGAGTGAACAATTTATGAATCTAATAAGCATGTGGAAAAGTTGAGGGGAAGCAATCATCTAGAAAGAGACACTTGTGGGCTTGCATTTTAAAAATACGCAAAAATACCCTAGGGCAGAATTACATGTGAGGAAAAACACGTCATGTTTTGCACGTCATGTAAAAATAACTTTATTAATATGGGTCAGCAAAACATTTTTAATTACAAAGTAATAGCATCGGCTGTCATATTAATAAAAATGAAGAGGAATTACGCAGCAATGCCTTCTCTGCATGTATTACCAGGAATAACCTGTCGCTGAACAAATGTTGCCATTAATGCAAAGCGATTTTTTAAAAAAAATTCTGATGCATACAGTATATTTTCAAGACATTGTTTTTTTTTTCATTAAATTTAGAGCCTGGCCTTTGAGACTGACGTACTGGATATAATTTTATATAAAATTTTAATTGCATCCAGACTGACTCAAACTCTTCTATATTTCACACTGGCGAGCTAAGTGCACCTACGGGTGGACTGAAATTAATGAAATGAATGATGTTCATGGGTATCTCTATAAGACTTGGGACCGTAAATGGTTGTGCCATTGAACTATTTCTGGGGGCAAGCTGTCCTTCAGCATTTACCTGCCTCTGTCACGTACCGTAAGTCCTCTGACTCTGTCCTCCAAAAAATTTTCAAGGCTGTGTCAATTTCATGCGTGTGTATATTCAGCACATTTCGGAAATCGGGAGTCATGAATTATACATTTGTTTTCCTATAGATTTCAGCCAGGACTGTATACAGTACGTGTCTTTTCTCGGCCAGGGGGAAGCCATTCTGAAAAGATTAAGGACCACATTCCTGAGTTCGGGACATTCCTGAGTACAAAAACCTGCCACCCGCTAAAGCATTTTCTCGGTTTAATAGGTTGTCATTGTCAAGAAAAAAAAACAAGCGTCACAGATGCCAAAGCAGTAAGGAAAGCCTCACTTCTAACTGCCTATGCAGACACTAAGCAGTAACACTAATCTGGAAAACAGCTGACGCGGCTTTACGTTAATGATTATATTATTTAAAGGCAAAAAGAATGGATTAGGGAACATCTAATATATAGCTCCCTAATGATGAGAAATAGCAGGTAGGCCTACATACAGTAATTAACTTGTGAATGCGACACATTCTACCAATATATTTCAAGTCACGATTTTATTTGGCATCGACATCTAGTCATTGTTTTCAGACTTGGCTACCGCAGAATAAATAATAATATGAAGTCCCTAAGCGGGTGTGGAGGCACAGGGAAAATGTCAGATTTGTTTGTGAAATCACGTAGCAGTCCATGAATGAACCACCAGTATTTTTGGAAGGGTGGGGGGGCGGAACTTGGAGAATGTTTTTTCTAGATCGCTCTTTGTATTGTGAGAGTATATTATGAACATAGTACATGAAGACGGTCTCAAAACAAAAAACGATTTGATACAAGTGTTCCTTCCCCCACTGATGGGGCATGGAAATGCTCAAAGCAGCATGTGGTTGGGCTGCAGTGTCTCAGCATCTTTTCACAAATCCCATCCACACACATATGTACGGCTGAGGGTGACGCTTAGGGTCTGAGCACAGGGTCGGCCCTTTATTTGGTGTCCCTGGAGTATTTCGGGGGGTTAGGGGCCTTGCTCAAGGGCACAATGGACACGCCACTATTCTGTACAGGAATTTTGGTTACTTGTGATTTATTTGTGAACGGGATGATACACAATCATAACTGTCGTTTAAACTGAGTGAAGCCAGCAAAAAAGAACGTGGCATGGAGATAATTCAGCTGCATAATGAATCAGAGTGCGGCACACGATGTGAGCATGTGACCGGAATGCCACAGTGGGCGGTGGCAGTGAGAGATGCTACACGAGTATCAGATTAGGACAGAAACTCATGGTTTCTAGAGGTACAACCAGCGTGTGGCCTTCATCGAGAGGCTCATCCATTTTACGAAGGATAAGTGAAGCAGCCGCACTCTGCTGTAACCTGGTGAAAATATCTGCATAAAGACGGGATCAGACCCTTTGCTGAAGCAGCCCTGTAGAATTAAGGAGAAATCAGCTGATGAATGTTGGAACAAGAAGGGACATAAAGTATATCGTTTATTTAGAACTTAGACAGGTCAAGCCACCTAACTTCATGTTTTTTGGATTGCAGTTGGAAAGTGGGGCACTCAGGGGGAAACAAAAGAACTAGAAAACCGGACATATAGAGACTTTACCACTTATGAAAGCACCTAATGTGGTCCAGTGTGCCATGGGGAAAACACAAGCCACCAATCATCAGCAATGGCTGGCTGCATCGACTCCTGGTAATTACCAAGCAAAATGTATGTGACAGAAGCCACCCTGACAAAAACATTCTTCACTTCATGAAAAATGATGTATAAGGGGAGATTGAAAAAGAATGAAACCACAGTTTTGGCTGAATAATCACAGGCTTGCCGGCGCAGTGTTACCTGTGTGACTTTGTCTGTGACATTGTGTGTTCTGTCCTTGACCTTTGGGGCGATGATGGTTTTTTCGGAGGACGGGGGAGAGACGGTCTTCTTGTCGTTGTTCGTTTCCGAGAAGTTCAGGGCGATCAGAGGGATTTTGTTGATGGTGCTGTACTTGTTCAGGTTGGAGTCAGAGGTGGAACCCAAGAGACTGGACTTTATATGGCTGAATGGACCTGGAGAACACAAAACATCGGGAAATGGGCACTGGGACAAATAAGAACATCCTCTGATTTAGCGCAGAGGGACTTTGATGTGGAGGCTAAGAAATACCCTCTTCACCTATCTGTCCCTGAATCCTGTTCCCTTCTCTTTCAACAGCCATTAGCAGGACTGCTACATTGACAACTCAAATTTGAGGCTTTCAGTGGGGAGTAGGAAACAACAAATATGTGTTTTAGGTACACAAGCATCTTAAAATTTAAAAAGTACATATTTAGTTTGTCTAAAAGGGGTTGGGTATGTGTATTGGGAACACTTTGAGCAGAAGCATACAGAAATGGATGTGAATTTAATTGAAAACGTGCTCTGAATTTGAATTAAACAGTAATATTACTTCAGAATTATATGACTTGAAAACAACAGTAAGACAATCCCATTGGCAAAGCTTGCAGATCCAAAGGTTTATATTCAACTGCACAAAAAGTCTTCTTCTAGGGCAGTGTTTCCCAACCCGGTCCTTGGGGACTCACAGATGGTCCACGTTTTCGCTCCCTCCCAGCTCGCTGCTGGACAGTCTACATTAGGGGTGTGCAATCTTATCCACAAAGGGCTGGTGTGTATGCAGGTGTTTGGGGTAACCTTTAGGTCAGCTGTTCAAACCCATGTGTGAGGACTCTTCAGCCAATCAGTCCTCTAATTAGTAATCTAATTAGCAAATTGTGGAGAAAACCCACATACACACCGACCCGTTCTGGGTAAGATTGCCCACCCTTGGTCTATATTTTCACTCCCTCCCAGCTCCCTTGGACAGAACAAAAATGCAGACTGCCTGCGGGTCCCCAAGAACCAGAATGAGAAACCCTGTTCTAGGGTATAGAAGAGGCGTGGACATCAACATCAAGAACTGTTTTACGGTACCAGGTACTGTCAACACAGGCGTTCATAACGGGGGGGGATGGGATGGAGGAGCAGGCAGCACATGCGGTTGTTGGAAGCAGTGGAGGATCTCCTACCCTGAGGCCCCACAAAGCCCTGCTTCACTGTTTTTAAGCAACCAGAGTATGTGGAGCATGAGTGGGGGAAGGACACACAAACAACGACGTCCGATGCCACTAAGGACCGCATGCTAAGTGCTTCAAACGATACACAGAGTAAAAGCTCAGGCCATACCCCCTGCCATCCAGGAACGGGACACTAGTGTTTCAAGGAAAAAGAAAGGAAAGAGAGTAAAAAGAAAGCTACCAGAAAAAAAAATAACTAAAAGCAAGCCGTTAGCACTAGCTCCGCATCGATGAAGAAGGCTGGAAGAAGAACTCGTGGGAATTTTACTTACACAACAATGTTCTCAGGGCAGAAGGAAAGATCATTAGTTCAGAGAGATAATCACTCAGATTGTAGAGCAGGTGGGTCCAAGCAACTAGAGAAGGCGAGACCAACCAATCAGATATCTTGGTCCCACATCTTCCAGTTGGTTGGACAGTGTTTCCCAACCCGGTCCTTGGCGACTCACAGATGGTCCACGTTTTCGCTCCCTCCCAGCTCGCTGCTGGACAGTCTACATTAGGGGTAATCTGATTGGTTATCTCTCTGAACCATTTTTCCTTTTGCCCTCAGAACATTTTTGTGTAAGTAAAACTTCCACAAGCAAAAAGAACTGTGGCAAAATTCAATGGGGTCCCGGGGTGTGAAAGTACTATTACTGTATTACTCGTGGGGACGCTATGTGGTGAGTGTGGTTTGGTACAAGCAAGGCTCCAAAGAGTCAGATGAAGGATACAGAGGACTGTCTTCTGTATTTACAAAGACGGACAAGCTCATGATGTTCCTGATGTTCTACTAAACACTGATACATTTCCCTTAGTCTACAATGCTCAGTCACACTGAGACACCAAATGTGATGATTTCCAGTAACGTTATTCTATCTTAGGTTTTCTGTTCTTTGATTTCCTCAAATTATGGGGCAAATTATGGTGTACCTAATTCCGAATTTTGAATTAATAGTAAATTGGAAATATAAATGAATATAGTCAGATCTAGTGTGAACCTGGGGGAAGGTTAGTTATTTTCAGTAGAGCCACTGGGCCAATCTACACCATAAGATCTTAACACATAATTGTTTTTAAAAACGTGACTTTATTACATGGTTACTTTTTAAATGTGGTTACTAATAAAAATGCGTTGTTGCATCATAATCACTACATTAATAGGTAAAACTGTTTTCAAATAGTGAAGGGATGAAGTATTTCTTGGCCACTTGCACATTATTCAGTGTCAAATGGCTAGTATTATTTAATTATTCATGAACAACATAATACAAGGGAAAGTTCTGCACATGACAGGACATGTTTAGTTACACGGCTTGCAAGCTGCTGTGTTTTTGGACAAACTGGGGGTAGCTGAATTTCTGCATTCCAGAGATAACTGGTTCCTTTTATGTTTACGTGTTTATGTGTTTACGTCTGAGAAAATGGCATCATAAGATGGATTACACTAAATAAAAAGAAAAACACCTACAAAAAAATCATACCAATGTCGTTCCTTTCATTTTGTCATTGTCACTGAAACTAAAGTCAATTTTTTTTTCAGACACAGTATTTTTGCTTTACTGATTTTGGTTTAAAAAAATCTCAAGCAGACCTTGTTTTTCTCATGTAGCTTTGAAAAAAGGGTCAAAATAATTACACTGGGGTAACGGGAACTTTACTTCAAGAACAATTTCGTCAGGAAAGACATAAAGACGCATGAAAAGCCTCCGGGAAGTTTCCTGAGAAATGTCAGGGTGTCTATCAGTTAGACGCAGCAATGCGGAGAACAAGCATCCGCTCTACTGTCAAGTCACTGCGCAATAAATTCATGCAGCCAGCCGGCCAGAAAGCACGTGCAAGAAGCGTATCTTTACCTTTGATATTGCGACCGTTGTCTGAAATGGAGAAAGACATGGTGAGAAGGGAAGGGAGGGGGGGTAATAGAAAATACTAGAGACAGATAAGATGGATTTCTCAGTCACTTTATGCGTCATATATTCTGTAACAGCCTCGGAGATAATTTATCGTAACAGCATGACGCCATTATGCTGCCATCCTTGAGGGTGATGTAAGTAATAGCGCGAAACCTTCGTCATTTTACGATAATTGGCAGGTCACATGGACAGCACTGTCTGTAGAGGTACCGCTGTCATAAATCCACGGGAAAGGCTTATCTGATGCTCTAGGAGAGAATGTGGACATGGTGTGTCCCTAGCTACCTTCGCTGGCGTGCCGGTCTCTGAAGGTGCTCTTCGAGTTGGAGCTGAACCCTTCCATGTCCTGGACGGAGGAGGCTCTTCGTATGCTACACATGCTCTGACGTGAAGAGGAGGGTCCCAGGCACAGGGGAGAGGGGGGCTGCTCCAGGTACAGTCTGTCCCACTGCCATTTCGGAGAGGAGTGGTCCAGGGGACCAGACTCGTTAACAGCAAGGGGGAGCTGTCCCGAGGCGATGAGGGCTCGACTGTCATCGGGGTCGGAAATGCAGCAGCTCTCCTTGGTGGGAGATTTAAGGTCCTTTGTGATGTCGACGTCATCGCTGAGCTTCGGGGAGTCGATCGTGACGCTGTCGGGGTCCTCCTGAGGAAGCGACTGCTTGCTGACGCCCAAAAGTCTCAAGGCGGGAAGCCGGAATCGGAAAAACCTTGACTTTCCTGAAGGGGAAAGACAATGGATATTATTAGCAAGTGGATGAACACTATGTCCAAAGCCCTTTTCATAGCTTACACACCCATTTTGTATAGTGGCAAGTCTTGTGAAGTAAAAGGCATGAGGTGAGATGTTACCTGCAGTTTAGAGTCACCAGTCCTCCTGAACAAATTATAGGGAACATGGGAGTTAGGAACCGAGCGGAATCATGCAAGCGCTCAGGGCTGAAGCGGCCATCTGGCATGCCAGCCGTTTTCATGGGGGGCCAATGCGTGTGTGTCCTCCCACCCCCAGTCAGCAAAATTCATCATGGGGGACCCCAATATCTAGGGCCAAATTTTTATTCCAGTCCAGACCTGAAAATGCTATAGATAAAGCAAGACCTAAGGAGGATTTTAGCATGTTTTTTAAACTGAAGGCATAAGAGGAGGCATAGTTTGCACACATGGGTCAACCTTACCATTAGTAAATGATATGACAAGGGAGGGACACTCTGGGGGCCAATTAGCTTTTGTCTGGGGCCAATACCCTTGTGGCTCCACCCCCATATACGCCCCAAGCAGGACCTGACTCATATCCTCAGGCTCCAAAGCACAGAGGAATGAGACCTCAGTTAAAACAATATAGTGTTGGTGAGTATAAAGCTTTAGAATTATAATCACATAATAGAAAAACACATATTGACTAAAACAGCCTTAAATGGTTATATTTCTAGACATTTCTTTAGATGCACGGATCTTATTTTCCGGTTTGACCTTTCGAACAAATGCAAAGCTTTCGCCAGGAGGATGAGCACTTGACACTTGAATTATTTACTTCTCTGAAAAAAATGCACATATGATAAAAGAAAATAAGAGGTTCGACTTTTCTGACTTGTCGGGAGAAACCAAAAGAACCAAGGACTGTACTATACTGGCGTAATATCCTGCAGATGGAAAATTAGTCAAACCCTGAAATGCACTACTGACAAAATAGCTTATTGATTGAAGACATGATTATATGTTTAACATGATTTCCTCTTCTTAAATATGGTAATGAGAGAAATTAAATATGCTGTTTCTTAATGTGCAGACGTCACCACAGTGTAGACAGCAGGGTTCAGGCTGATGGCATCTTTTATCTGCCAAAGATATATCTGCATCAGAACTGCCATCAGCCAGTTTTGGAACATTTTCTACCCCTTTGCAGTTCGACAGCTCAGCATAGAGTGACAACCAGAGGTCAACACCATGGCAAATTCGGAGGGATAGAGTGACACTTTGCTTTCCCGTTTCAACCATTCCTTTCATTTATATTTATTTCATACATTTATCATTTCTTTTTCCATATCTTCTGTTACAGCAATTTCTTCTATTTACATTATATTTATTCCATAAATAAGAGTCAGGATCGGTCCCTGCCCTGTCTTGTCTGTCATTGCCCTGCTTGGCCAGTAGATGGCGGTGGCCATCCCATTCCTCATGTTTCAGTTGCCTTTAGTCTTTAGTGTTGGGTTGATTGTAATGGCTCACACCTGTTCCCTGTTTACCCTTGTGTGTATATACGTGCATGCCCTTGCTTTGTGCCCCGGGGGGTCATTGTCTTTGGTTTCTGCATGTTCTCTGATGTGTACAGGTGACTTGTTAGTATTGCAGTGATTATTCTAGGTGTTTTGCTTGTGTTCCCTCTCTTTGCCCTCACTTGTAGTTCCACCCTGTGTCACTCCTCGTGTATCTAACCTGCCTTTGTTTTGGCCCTTTGCGGTCCCTTTTGTTTTATGTGTTTGAGTTACTTTTGTCAGTAAGCCACACTGTCCTATTGTTCCTCTGTTATGCCCCACGTGACAATATGTACCTCTACAGTACCTACTCATATGTCTACATTAATGTTTGCGAGTGCCTTTGTCTTGTTTTGTGCTGTGTAATCTTGTTGGATGTTATGTTACACTTGGTACTTCGATCAAGAATTATTCAGTACTGATGTTAAAAATAAGGCCAATGAAAAATGTTGTCCTTTTCTTCTCTGTTAAAGAAGTGATAGTGGACTCGGCAAAGACAGGGCCGAATCTCAGGCTTGAGTTAATCCATAGCGGATGCATAGGTCCTGCTTATCAAATGTAACATTGATTCTGAAACGAACTGCAGACTGAGAGAGATCACCAGGCCTGGCAAAAATGCAGAACCGAAACTCAAGGCAAAATAAATGCTTCGGGGACATCCGACCCCTGTACAGGTGCACGTTAAGCGCCGAAGGCATCTGTAAAGCTGCCTGCGGACTCGGAGAGAGCTATCGCTCCGCCGTGTGCTCATTAGACACGACAGGAAGATGCTTCCTGCAATACATCACGAAGCAAGTGTCTCTTAACACGCCGCGGGGGAAGGAAAAAGACATGAGAATGCATTTTGGGGGTATGAGCCCAGAGTCTGATTAGATAGAGGAACATTCTATACTTTCTAGTCACTGTTTATTAGCCACAGTTTAGCCGAACTTTCCTGTTCCATTTTCCGAACCTCTTCCAAACAGCAGACCCGCCGATTTCACACATATCATCGCCACTTTCCACTTTATGTCTGGGTGCCGGATGCAGTAGCATGCCCCTTTCAATTATGCATGCTAATGCCCCCTTAGCATACAAAGCTAATTTATCGCTAAACTGTAACGCCTCGTCTCAAAAGACTCAGCTAGTGCCAGTTGAGTGTTCTAACTGAAAAAGGGGTGATTTCCCAGATAGCAGCTACGTAGCAAGCCTTCTGCGCCAGGAAACTAAGATGCCTGTAATGTTGCATGACTCATTTTGCCGTAAGACTGCAGCTGCAATGAAAGTGTGACATTCTCAGCAGTCATGTTGCTGTGGACAATATACTAAGGATCTAATATGCTTTTTTTAATAGTTCAATTCACAATGCAGCCATCATGAACTGACGTGAAACAGGCATATGCCATTAAGAGCCTTCTGGATCTTTCTGAACGTGACCAGCTCTCTTTTCATATTAACCTGAATAAAATCTGCAAGTCACAAACAGCTGATGGGCAAAATATATATATGATTAAACACTTTGCTGCACATAATTACACAAACCCATTATTTAATTACATTTTTATACAAGGGCAGGTGCTGACATTATAATACAAAAACTGGATTCGAGTTCTTTTAGAAGTATTAATAGAGGCAACTCATCAAATAAAAAGTACAACAATACACGATGCTATATTTAAATGAGATAAACACAAAATGTCTTAAAGGCACCAAGGCATCATGGGGAGGAACTGGGTGTTTGGGACTTGAATGTTTGTTCCTTAGGGTGGGCTGCTTATCATGTACAGCTTACATGCTAAGCAAAGTATGTAGGAATAAAATGTTTAATGACATGGATCTGCTGACAACAGCACAGCTCGGTGTTTTTCTTCTCTAATCAGTGGCCATCAGCCTCCTGGGCCCTCAGCTCACACAACGATACCCTCACTCATTACATATGCGTACATCCCAAAGTGAAAGTGAAAGGCAGGTTTTTACTGGTATATTTTAGCCAATGTGTGAGTGCGGCTCACGCCAGGGCCTCAGGCAGGGCTTATCTGCTTCCCCGTGTGCTAATTTCTCCTCTCCTCTCTGCAAATCCCTCTGTCACAGAGACAAGCAATTAGTTCTGATTAGCTGTGTTAACAGCACGTTCTCATTAGAGGCTTCCCCGCGCTGCGGGTGCTGGATATGGATTCGTCCTGCACTCTGCTTCAGCGTGTTGTGCTGCGCCGTGTTGTCCTGTGGTAGCAGGTTAAGCAAACTGTGCGTTGAGTCACTGCATTGGGCTTTGTAGTTCTCTTCTGTGCCGCACCATGCTGCTCTGTAGCGGGAGCTTAAGTGTGCAGAGTTTCCACGGTGTTTCTCACACTAGTGCCTTTATTGATAGTGAGATGTACTCCCAATGAGTCCCCAAGTAAAGGCTGCACATCAATGCACTGAAATCCAGGGGTCCACTGGACCCTACTTGCTTGGACCCCACTGCTTGGAGGCGTGTCTAAGCAACTAGAGGAGGTGGCATCAAGACATCTGATTGGTTGGTCCCGCCTCTTCTAGTTGCTTTAACCCATCTCCTCTACAATCTGATTGGTTATCTCTCTGAGCCAATCATTTCCCCTTATGCCCTCAGAACATTTTTCTGTAAGTAAATCTCCCATGAGCCTTCTGGGATGCAGGTCCCAGAAGCGAAGGGTAACTGCAGTTCTCTAAACTCTCTGTTTACGGTAGGGCCACGTAGGCTGAAAGCCGGCCCAGCGCTGCCTCACGCTCGCTGCTGACTCACGCCCAGCAGAGTGGGAACTCCGCCTCCACTCAGTGTTCAGCTGGCCTGATGCAGAAGTGAACTGAGAGAGCAAAAAAACTGCAGGGGAAACCCCTTGGCTTTCCGACTTACATAACAGCTTTTAGCCTCGTGAGAATAGCTGAAAATGTCCCGCATTAAAAAAAGATGCAGCGGAATAAATATTTCAGATTATTGCTTGCTACCATTTATAAAACCATCACAGCCAGGAACAAAAATCCCTTATAGCCTGGCAACATTTTGCACCTCGATTTTTCTGAACCTGTTCTCCAGACCATGTTAAGTTTTGCCATCCGATAGCAGTCATCCTAAGAGCTCTGCTCCATCCTCGCAGGCGAAAATAATGCAGCAGCTTTTAAAGTCTTTGGTGTCAGATCACAGCGTTTATGGAGAAAGTCGTGTCAGAGAGATTCTAGCGTTGAAGAGGGTAGAACACCCACTTCCAGTTATTTAGGTGATTTGAGAGTAAGGCATGAACTGTGAGTGCCCTCCAAACTTAGACTATCCATTTTACTTGCATGCAAAATTATCAAGGCTGAAGGTACACTCACGCCGAGTGTGACGGCGACAAGTTGACCTTGCAGGAAATAATGAATAGTAAGGAGAGTCCAGTTTTTGGAGCTAATACTGTACGTAGCTTCGCGATCACCTGCGTTTTGCGGAAAATCTACAGAAAGCTAAGCATGGACCTTCTGGGCTGGGTTCTGTTGTACAGGAGGGGGAACAGAAGGGGTTGGGGACACAGATGGGAGCTCGCAGACCCCACTGGGGAGGCAGGGGAGGGACTTGGCCTTGTTACCAATCCGCCAGAAGGAAGCAGGGGGGAAATGGGTTTGTGAGGCTTGGGAAGCAGAAGTTCTGATGAACTCTGGACCAGACCGCTGCCACGTCAAGGAGAGCAAGGGACACAGTAAGTTCCTAGCTTGGGTCTAAAAGCACACTAACAAAGTCCAGTCACTTTAATGATGAAACACTGCATCACATTTCCTTTTATATGGCTCTGCTTCCCACAGCAGTTCATTGCCTGACCTGCTGACCAAACGGAGTCATTTCTCTGACCAAAGCATTAACCACTATCATGCTTGAAATAGTTCTTTTGTCACAAATAAGTCTTTTTCTACAAAAGGAATTGTTTGCACTTACGTTTACCTTAGGAAGCAATTACACTGAGGAGAAAACAAATGATTAAAGACCTAAGTTTGAGCTAATTTGTTCTTGTAATTACATTTAATTTTCTGGATCTTGCAGTTAATCAGCAGGTACTGAGGACGAGCTATTGCCAGTCCAACTGATCTGTTTATTCCAAAATTTCAGTTCCATCAGTACAAATCTGCATATTGCTCAGGCATATCTTCTGAGAATCCGATTCTTCTGGTTGGGATTGAGGTAAGGATGTGTGGCATGATTTATCCTGGAACAGACTTAAGTCCATCACGATACTTAGTTATAATTGGAAAAATCTCATTCACATGCACACAGCTGGGGTGAGGATGTGAACTCACACTCTTACAGCTCCTTTGAGAGGACACTAAACGCAAGCCACCATTACCCCCTTGAAGACTTTCATCCAGATTTAATTGGTTTTAAGAGCCCCCAAGACAAATGTGGGCACGGTTTCGAAATCAAGTGTGCCCGCCAAACTCATGGGAGTGCGAGCTTGGCGCGGCAGCACCAAGGCGGCACTCACTAAGCTCACGTCGCCCAGGCGATGGCTGGTTCAGCTGCTCCAGCTGGTCACTGCTCCCCTCGTCGAGCACGTAGTCAAAGTTTAGGATGAACATCATCACCGCCCCTTCCTCATTCTTCACGGGGATGATGTGAGTGGTACAAAGGAAGTCAGATCCTAGAAGCGGAACAACAATTGCAGATTTGTCATATTAATACATCCATCTTCCATAACCAGTGGCGATTCTACCGACACTGGGGGCCCTAAGGAACAAACTCCATGGTGCCCTCCAACACACCCCGCCTGGCCTGGTAAAATTTATCACCATTATTTTAGCGTGAGGCCTAAATTAATAATATCAACAAAGAGATTTTAATAAACACAATTCCTTTATTTTCACTTTATTGTAGAAAAACAGAATACACAAATAAAGCAGATTTGTCGCTGCAGTGTAGTATGTAATCCAGCCAGCTCGGGGTGGGGGGGGGGGGGGGGGGGGGTTTAATATAATTAATATATTAAACTCATATTTAATATATACCCTGTTTAACTGGCTCCAGACCCTCCCATCACCCTGTACTGGATGAACACTTGAAAGTGGGATGGATGGATGGATGGATATACTTAACCTAAATAGGACAATCTATCAGTTGAATATAACAGTGTAGACATGCTTAGCTGGCCAAACTGAATGTGTTTTTGGTGAAAAGGAGCAACATAACACTTGCAAACTTAAACATATGTCTGCACATCATACACTGCTCAAAATGATATGGACTGGGTAATGTGTTAGGAACAAAAGGATGCCACATCGATTGATGGAAATGAAAATTATCAACCTACAGAGGCTGAATTCAAAGACACTCTGAAAATCAAAGTAGGCTAGTCCATTTTGCTGAAATTTCAGTGCAGCAACTCAAAATCGTGCTCAGTAGTTTGTATGGCCCCAACGTGCTTGTATGCATGCCTGACAACGTCGGGGCATGCTCCTAATGAGATTACGGATGGTGTCCTGGGGGATCTCCTCCCAGATCTGCACCAGGGCATCACTGAGCTCCTGGACAGTCTGAGGTGCAACCTGGTAGCATCGGATGGACCGAAACATAATGTCCCAGAGGTGTTCTATTGGAATTAGGTCAGGCAAGCGTGGAGACCAGTCAATGGTATCCATTCCTTCATCCTTCAGGAACTGCCTGCATACTCTCGCCACATGAGGCCGGACATAGTCATGCACCAGGAGGAACCCAGGACCCATCAAACAACAACGAGACAGTCGGTAATTCGCAGAGCAGCGAAGTCTGTGACCCCTAGGAAAGCCGTAAAACCCATAATACAGTCGTGTTTATGTCATATGTTTTTGTGCTTATTAATGTAAGTATTTCCAAAGATTAATCTTGTGAAATTAATCTTAATCCCACAACAGTAATAAAATAAAAGCCTCGCTTTAACATAAATAGTAAAAGAATAGATCGCTTTAATCGCTATTACAGTTTGGTATGGGCACGCGGTCTTATTATTATTATTTAGAAAAGATACATTCCTTTTGTATTTGTCGAAAACTGCATTTTACTTCTCATTTCAAATAAAATGCAGGGCAGCTAATTTTAAGTTCAGAATGGAATAATATAGATTTGCCGTAAGATTTCTTGCTTGAGAGTCTGAAAGAGTTAGCAACAATGAACACGTGCATTATTTGTTTCACCTGAATTGATTTGTATAGAAAATAACCGAATACAGTTGTTAAAAAGCGAAAACTTCGACCAACATGAAATCATCAATAAACAACTAATATTTATTCAACATTTTATAAAATGCATACTACATTAAAAAATTTCCAGCTTTACGGTTTCAGGACAGAACAGTCACTGTTATGAACATTATGGCTTTTTGGTTGAGAGTGTTAGATTCGCTGCTGTTATTAACACTAATAACACATTAGGCTGCATGCATGCACCGAAGTAGGCCTTGTTCTTGTTTGTTCATTGCCGTGGGTAAATGTGCGGTTCTAGTGTTATTAGGGGGGCAATCAGCGTTACCTGCGAGATCGCTATTGTTTTTCTTTTTGCTGCAATTGCATGTATTCATTATTACTTTAACTTAACACACCACATCTTTAAATTCTCATTTTTGCATTAGAATATAGACCAGTTAATATTTTGATGGTATCTTATGTAGTAATGCTGCGTCATATGTTTTAAATTTACTACACACCGAATATTGAACTGAAGCTTGACATAAAAAATCATCGAATGGTAATCGCAATGTCTGTCAGAAAAATCACGATTAGATATTTTCCCCAAATCGTTCAGCCCTATAGGTATGTATATATAGAAGTATGTATATATTTATATAGTATGTATATATAAAATTATTATTTTGTGGATTATTTACCTGCACATTACAACCCATTAATGTTGGATACAGAGTTATCCTAAGTCATATACAATATAACACACCAGTGTACTTATGGGAATATGAATTGCATTTCATCTTCATTATGGGAAGGTAATAGGCCTCCTACTTATACACAGGTAATAAAACGCCTGCTATTAAAGATCGCAGTTGTGCGTTGTCGTGAACACTTACGCGTACAGTGGGATCGCTTAAGGCGAGGAGGCTTACACTGGTGATGAACTGATCTGAAGGGCTAGCCCTACGGGAAGCTGGAAATCCCCATTCATGCGCACATTCATGAAAAGGACTCAGGATCTGAGCCTCAGCTACCGGCGCTACTGCAGCAGCCACTCGACAAATGTTATTTGCGTTCTTCTGTAATTCTGACACACTTACATAGTAGTCTGTCATTTCTGAATATCAAGGAAAACCCACAGGCTTTGACAGATGTTTCCTGCGGCAGAATCCCTGTGCTTTATAAAGGATCCATAACATGCACAACGCAGTAAACCCAAAATAAAATAAATGTACGAAATTTTTAATTTAGTCTTTAGAGAGATACGGATGTAGCCTATTTATAGATCTTATGAGCTTATGGTATCCAATCGTGTAGGAGATTTACATCTGGATTACATGCTACGTCTGCTTTATAGTTCAGCTTCACAAAAACTAATACTGGATATGCTTTGCATGAGGGGAAAATACAAGGGTAACAGCCAGGGGGCCAATGTCTAGAGACCTCATCACTGGTGGCTTTATTGCAGAGACAACGATGAGCAGCAGACAAATAAAAATGTAATATTCTCTAGGTCCACCTTATGTGTTCACTAATTAAAGTAACTAGGTAAAGTAAGAAAGATATTAAAAATCCTTAAGGGAGAGCCATGATGGGGATTTGCATAAATACTGTTTTACTGTTTGCAGCTCTTCATTAGATTCTTACTCCCCCACCCCATTCTGCCTAATCTTGACGTCCCTCGAGATCCAGTGGGCGGGGCTTTACCCAACCTGCCAATCCCAGACAGGTACGACATAAGATACAAGCATGTATTTGTCCTTCAATGGGCACTCCAGTCAGAATTAAGTTTTTTGCTGTTCCTACACATAAATAATTTTGAGTTTTCCATTATAGCGGAAGTACATGTGACAGTAGCAATGCTAGTTATAGCACAAGTACCAGTAGCAATAAGAGTAGCAGAAGTAGTAGTAAGAGCAGTAGTAACACTAGGAGTGATCGTAGTAATACCAGCAGTAACACTAGCAGTAACAGTAGTAGTAACAGTAGTACCAGGAGTGGTAATGATATCAGTAGTAACACTAGCAGTAACAGTAGTAATTACAGTAGTACCAGTAGCGAGATTGGTGGTAATAGCGGTAGTAACACTAGCAGTAAAAGTAGTAATAATAGTAGTACAATGACAGTAACAGTAGTAATAACAGTTGGACCAGAAGTACCAACAGTACTAAAAATATAATAGAAAATTTCCTTTTCCAGATTTTTGGTTCGCAGTAATGGGATTGTTTCCTCGCATTTCCCTTCCCAGAGATGTCCACCCTCCCACCTCCATCTTAGATGTGGCAGCTGCAGTTAATTCAGACGTTTTGTATCCAAAGCATTACAGTATATCAGATCAACTAGGTCAGTACAGAAGTGAGAGCAGAGAGAGCAATGATTAGTGGATACTCTTAACTCAAGCTAAAATGACATCCATTTACTTCTTGAAAAGGCTGTTATAGAACATTATATATATATTATATAAATGCACAAAGGACTGTACTCTACTACTTGAATCACCAGTCATTTGCAGAATAGATTACTACATAGATTTGTAAATCTACAAAAATATAAGGGAAAAAACAGACAGCAGGTAATTGAATAACCATGTTATAAGATGTATTTTAAATGTACTGTATGACCAAAGGCTCATTGGATTCCACTTTAAAGTCCCGGCTGTGTCTGTGTGGAGTTTGCATGTACTGCCTTTCCCCACTTGGGTCACCTCTGGGTCGTCTCTTTTCAGTGTAGTGGTGTCACTAAATTCCCCTGCTAACGTCACGCTAACGGCCATCTAGGGTATCCCCCTACCCCAGCCCTTCTTGGGATGGTCTCCAGCTTCACTGTGGCCTCTACTGGATTAGCAGTTATGGAGGACAGATGGACACACATCCAGAATGGTGAGTAAATTAGCATTTTGGCTTCTGTGGTGGTACTATCTTTTCATTCCGGTCTGCAGTACAGAAATGGGGAGAGCCCATGGAGAAACTGCCAAGAGAGTACAGTTTTTTTTCCATTGCTGTACTGTAGCTGTGTGGATTTTTGAGAGATTCAGACTCTCCCCCATTCACTCTCTCTCTCTCTGTCTCTCTCTCATGCTGTTTCGGTCTCTCTCTGGCTCTTCTACCTCCAGGGAGGGAATGTGATGTGTCAAAAAGGGCAAATGAAAATAAAAACACCCAACAATGCAAATCACAAGGGCCTTTCCCCATCCTCTAAGGGCTGACTTCACATAGAGCCAAACAGTGGGGCTTGTTATTTAGCCAAACATCCACTGACTCAATATAACTGCCAAGTGCTGGGTGGGTTAATGGGACTACTGGTCCCTTCAAAGAATCTGTCTGTTCAGCTCTACGGAAGCTCTTTTATCATATAAACACCAGATACAGCATACTACTTCATCTTATGTGGCATAGTTCACTTTTATCAGCCTGTTTCTTCTAACATCAGTCAATAAAACCTACAGGGTCGGCATTTTTTGTC